CTCCCCCTCCCTTGTGTTTACCGTATGCCCCCCCGGTGTTTGACACGGCCAGGGCTGCCAAGCTGCTGCCACAGAACGTCTTCTCTTTCTATATAAGCAGGTTGGTTTCTGAGAAGAGGCATAAAAAATACAAATGTAGTTCTGCTCTGGCAGCTCTAGGTTCACTCCTCTTTGTGTTGTTGGCAGAGACTACAACTGCTGACAGTTAATTCAGCAGCTTTTGAGTTTTCACGCACACTGGCATATTTTGATGTTTGTGCTTCCGTCTGTCAGAGACCCGACAGCAGCGGTAGGAGGAGCGCTCATACTGGGTGGGACTGACCCCCAGTACTACACTGGAAATGTGCACTATGTTAACGTCACACGCAAGGCCTTCTGGCAGGTCAAAGTGGATGGGTGAGAAAGAACTTTTTGTTTCAGAAATAGCGACCTGGGGTAGTGTAGTCCTGGTTGACACACTCAATGTTTTTTTTTTTTTTTCTTTCAGTCATGGACACATTTTTCACAATGTGTACATGTACACAGAGTTCTATACCTGCTTATTACCAGATTTATGCATTTCACTCCAAAAGAAGAAATTGACATGAGCTACTGTGGATTTCCTGCCGACTTTGCTGAAGCTGAACTGATACCACTTCTCTGTCTCGGCCCCACCCTGCTGCTTCCTCTCTGACCTATCCCACAGGGTTGAAGTCGGTGACCAGCTGACTCTTTGCAAAGTTGGTTGCCAGGCTATTGTTGACACGGGGACATCCCTAATTGTAGGCCCTCGGGAGGAAGTCAGAGCGCTCCAGAAAGCCATCGGCGCTATTCCCCTTCTGATGGGAGAGGTAGAGATGACACATGAGACAAAGCCACAGACTTTGGTTTGTTATTTTAGACTTGAGATCATTTCAGCATATTCTCCTCTTCCTTGTAGTACATGATTGACTGTAAGAAGATTCCCTCGCTCCCTGTTGTCTCCTTCAACATTGGAGGGAAGATGTTCAACCTGACTGGGAAGGATTATGTCCTGAAGGTAATGTACTAAGATCAGATGAAATTCACTTGACTCTTGTCACTGCCAGTTATTTAAACCAGCAGCTGAACAACGGACTTGACCTTCAGTCATTATACTGTAACTCTGCCTTTTTCATGAGGACACACTCGTAGTTGAATCAACAAAAGCGCCACTTCATAACCAGCTTCATGGGTCAGCAGGGTCTGACTTTGGAAGCCTGGTAACCTAGTAATGGAAGCCAGACCAGGCTGAACCTGCTTTATCTTGAAAGAGCAGTATATTGGTCTGCATTATAACGACAGCTTTCTAATATTATGACTCTGGTTTGTGTGGATGCATTGGCCTGTATGAGTGCACAGACACACCATATCTGTTAACCTGTGTTTGTCTCTTATTCTGATGCACACTGTTACTGTCTTTGCTGAACATGGGGAATCTTTCTTTTGCAGGAGACTCAGCTGGGAATATCGATCTGCCTGTCAGGGTTCATGGCCATGGATATCCCGCCTCCTGCAGGGCCCCTATGGATCTTAGGAGATGTGTTCATTGGGAAGTACTACACTGTGTTCGACAGGGATGCGGATCGTGTGGGCTTTGCTTCTGCCAAGTAGTTATACAGCTCTGTACGGAAGACGTTGCACTGTTCATTGCTAGCGGCAATTTTCAAAGCTATATTTGTTAAGGTTGCAGCAGTCCGAATGTAACGGTTGTACATCACTGAAGCCTGGCTTGACATGATTATCTTGCATCTGTGTAACAATGAGGGTTATGCAAAGTCGTTTCTAATAAGCAAATACAGCTGCTATGTTACCCATATCCTCTCACGCAGCTTGGTGTGCAGAGGTGTTGTGCTGCTGAACAAAGGGACTGACGCTTTAGCTTGGAGCTTTACATGACACCTTTATACAGCAGGACTCAATCAGAACTATGCACTTTGAACTGTGGTGTTCATTTTTGTAATGGAGAAGCTTTAAACATCTCAACTCTGAAAGTAATTTTTGCTTCTTAGCAACTGAAGTGCATTGTCAGTTGTGACAGCACAGTTGAAAATCTAACTGAAGATGCTTTTGTGGACTGGTTTTTCAAGATGTTTCTCTTACTACAACTGTGTACTTTATTACAAAATCTCATTGAATAAAACCTGACAGTAACAGTCGTGTTTTGAATCGGCAGGTTTGTAAAATCAAGTCTCTCAAACTGCATCTTTCCTCTGGAGATGAACAGAGCAGTTTCTTTAGAGATGAACCAATTTAAAAAAGCTGGGGGCAAATGCACAGCGTGCAACACAGCGTATGATGAGCATGCACGCCGCATGGTAGAGGTAGTGATAACTGACTCTCCTCACTGCAGCACAGTAAATTGTAGCACAAACTCTGTTTGCAAAGGAAGAATTTGCACACAAAGATCAGCTGTGGATTTACTTTATATCATCACAAACCATTTAATGAAGCACAACAAGTGGTACTTTACATGTTGAATTGAATCAATGCAAATAAATAGCTCTTCTTGGTTGCAAATACAAAAATATTCACCTGTCTCTCCGTTAGCTGGATGGTTATTTAACTGAGTGGACAAACATTCATTGTACACTATGCAGACAGTAGCACTGCATTTTCTCATTCTAAGGCTGTGTGAGAGAACAATGAGCAGCAGTGTGATTATTTTGGACAACACGGAGCCAAATGAGTGTGCATTAACCTCCACTCCACCCTGGCAGCTCCTGTTGTAGTTACTCCAACTACTGTCACCCGCATCGCAACTTAAGTGAACGGACATTGGATTGTGCAGCTTCAGCTCCACTGAGACCAGGGTGATCTCACATCAGACAGCTTGGCCATCAACACTTACGTTGTATAACTAAGGACCTGTGAGCACATCCCCCTTGATGAGATTAGCACCTGTAACTTGGTAATATACATGTAGATCTGACTGGCAGAAGCAGCCTGCTGCTAGCGATCCTCACCACAGGTCCCGTAACCACAGCTGATTTGGGCCAAGTACTTGCTCCTCATACGGCACTAACACTTCTAGGTGCCTGCTCAAGAAGACCGGGCCAGATCAACACCAGAACTTTAACATGTGGACTTTAAACGTGCATGTGTGCACAAACACCAGCACGGCAATACAGGAGTAATGGGTTCCATGCTGGAATCTGGGCAAGAGCTGAAGTTAATACTGAGACTGTTTCACCAAATGACAAACACAAAACCGTCTCCTGTGGGTTGTAACCAACCATGTTCACAGCGGCCTTGACCATAGATTTGACAAACTGCAGAGGGACACAACTCGTGTCCAGCTAAAGGTGTTCCTTTGCTACAAAAGGACCCAAGGAAACATATGCAACCCACAGTGACAACAGTCTGTATCTGAAGGTCATGATCTAGATCAGAGGATTGGAACAGGGATTTAAATGAAAGCAACAACCAGCAGACAACAGCACTCTTACCGAGCCAAACGACAACACTTGTGACCAACTCTGTTGCAAATTACTGCAGAACAGGTTTTGATAAAATAATCCATGAGGTAATGCGTAATACTTGGGTAGTAAAGCAGATCAGACGTGCACCCAAACAACAAAATGACAGCGCTGCCGTTTTCAGGCAGTCGTTTTGATAAAATAATCCATGAGGTAATGCGTAATACTTGGGTAGTAAAGCAGATCAGACGTGCACCCAAACAACAAAATGACAGCGCTGCCGTTTTCAGGCAGTCACACACCAAAAACTATGAAAAAAAAAACAAAAAAAAAAACATGTAATTTGTTCATATTTCAGGACAAATCAAAAACTGCATAGTTCCAAAAATGGTAGCATATTGCATTTGAGGACATAATGATTTTTATATTAGATTTATGGTAGAATGGTGAGAAGAGTCAACACATGGCTTAGCTGATTTCTGGATTAGGCAGCCATCAAACCCAAGCTGCAGACAATCCACACAGCCCCATGTTTGTGTTCACACGTGTCCCTGGGAACATGTCAAGTGTTTTCTTAGCAAACCTTGACTAGACTCACTGTTTTATGTGGTAACCAAACACAATTTGTCCATCTCTCTAACTCAAGAATGTCCTTCAGGCTGGTCAACAATTTATTAGCTTTGGGATCGGCCTACACACAATGGACACTACATTCTAACCCTGGACACAATAGCACAGACACACAGCACACCCCTGGTGCGGATCTCAGCTAAATCACATCTGTATTCTTAAACTCTCCACCCAGTTAAAAAGAGCACGACTATGGCATGCTCCATTTTCATGACTCATCCAATACACCCCAGTGTATTTGGTCCCTACAGCATGTCTACCCTTCACTTCACTGATACACTGGCTTTAGTGAGAGCCCATGACCCTTCACTTTGATGTGAGATTAAAATAATATTTGGATGATCAGTCCTCATGTCAAACCGATCTTAACACCAACTCACTGTTACTGTTTGTAGCACATTTCTCACAGATGTTTGGAAAGAGGTTTTTGGAAATGAAGAGACTGTTTTAGGAGAGAGGTCGATTCCATGCAGATGTTTGGTTTTTACCCCACAGGACCCTCATCATGGCTCGAGGTCTCCAAAACAATGGCTGATACATCAGTGCCACGTTTCTGTGTAGTGATGAGCTTGTCAGGGATGTGGTGTCACTGCAGTTCTCAGTAGCGCCTCAGGATCTGAAAGGGCACAGTAGAGGGTATACCCCAACTCATCCACTTCCTGTTCAGTCAGCTCACAGAACAAGTTAACTTTAGGGCTGAGAGCACACGGCAGCCTCCCAGCCTCTAGGTGTGCCACTAGTTCTCGTAGCAGCTGGAGAAAGCGGTCGGCAAGCGCTTCCTGGGTCCAGTCTCCTTCTTTTTCGCTCAGCAACAAGATGGCGTTTGTGAGCTGACTGGCACTGAGCCGGCTGAGGGTAGGGTTGAGCTTGCACACTGCCTTCGCCACCTTCAGGCAGGTGCATCGGCAGCCTCCATCTTCCTGGTCCAAAGCCCTGAGCCGAGCCTTCTCTGCTACACTGAAGCTCTGCCGCCACAGGTTTTCATGGCGCTCTGCAGCAAGCCGGTGTGGTTTAGCTATCAGTGAGGTTCCATCCTCCATCACAAGTAGTGGCAGGAAATCCACATACAGCTTCCTGTCTATCTCGTACTGCACCTCCAGGGTTAGCGTTTCTGAGGGAACCACAGGATGGATGATGTAGTCCAGGACACTCCCTATAGCTGGCCAGTTGATAGAGCCAGCCACAAGCTTGTCAAAGACCTCGAGGACTGATTTCGGGGAAAGATAACCTCCAACCATGCAGCGGTCCCAGTAGCTGCTGTTCCGTGGGAAGTACTCCAAGTTTTCCCTGCGGACAAGCCAGAAACCTGGAACGTTCATGATTGTGTCCTCTCCAGGGATGGATGACCACAGGTTCTTCTCCAGGATAAGAGGCACCATAAGCTGAGCATGGTCTGCTGTGACCACCTACGAGATGGGGGAGAGACACGTTGAAGGAACTAGAATGAAAAGTCTTTAGTCTAAAAGTAGGAGCAAAAGTGTGAAACCTTGTACCTGCAGGTCATCATACAGACTGCCACTCAGGTACATCTCTCTGAGCGGCATGTCAGGAAGTTTAGCATGAAGAAACACTCTGAGCTCAGCGCAGATGTCCAGTGCTGCCCTCCTAGCCATACCCTGCTCCTCAGCAGGGATGTTCACATTATTTTGGTAGAACTCCCACAAATGTTCCTGAAGAGACAGACGCATCCGGGCCCTCATCAGGTTTGACTGAGTGGCCCCAGTGCCTCCGACAGCAGCTCGACCCACGGCCCTCGGCAGACAGTCTGAGGAGATCAGAAGCAACTGAAAGTTAAAAGATGCATGTTACACAGCAAAAAGAATTTCACATGCAAAGACTAAATTACTGCACTTCTACTGTGTGAGAGATTATTTAAACAGTTTAAATCAGCATAATATAAAAGCTAATATAGAACAGCTGGATGAGTAACTACAGTACTACACAGAGCCAACACCCACTGTACAGAAAGAGCAGAAATCCTCCAACTAGTCTGTCTGTCAACAGATTTAAAAGACAATTTATAAATGACAGTGTACTGAAAACGAAACATAAAGCTGGCTGCATGATGCAACGTGAAAAAGACAAACAAAGGCACAGGACAAAGTTAACTGATAAAAGGCCCTGTGTTTTCCTCACCTGGTTTGTAAGCATGTGAGGATGTGGGCAGAGACTGTAGTGACCTGCTAATGGTGGACTTCATGTCATGGTTCAGTACCCGTGGTGACGAACCCATCCAAGCGGGCTCCTCCCAGCTCCTCTTTCCTGTCTGCTCCATCTTGGCAGGACTGGTAGGTGCACTTATGGCACGGTCATACATCTGTACAACAAAGAACTGCACATTTTAGGTGCTGTAGGGAGATGCCCAAGTTGGGGGTGCCCTCCATCTTGTATGGGCATGGAGAAAATAATTCTGAGATACATTTCTTCTAACTTACTCTTTTGACCGCTAGCGTTGCAATGCCAAGCATGGCTGCCCCTCCCACCCCCAGCACAAGCTTGGCATTGGAAAGCATGAAGTCAATGGCCGTGCCAACCCCATTGTCATCTTTCTTCCCTTTATGATCTCCATTCACTCCCGCCATACTGGAAACAAGGGAGATAAACAAAGATGGTAAAGCAGAGACAGACACTCAAGAGGAAGAGGACAGAGATGTACTTCGTTTAGTTCAGAGGCTATAACATATGACGTGTAACCAGATTCTGAAGTATACCAAAATATACATACACTTTGGTTTAACAGCAAATGAACAGCCATATGCAGCATGTTCTTACTATCATCATCCACCAACCGCACCAGACATTGTATCAGCTTTAAAAATCTTCACTGCTAACAAACAGAATCCCTTCTTATTTGTCAACCCACCTGTGAGATACACCTCCAGATGACCCGTGATTCCTTCCCCCTACATAAGCCCGCCCAGCCGGCTGCTGAGGAAGAACTGCCCCCTCCTCAGTGCGTCCTCCTTTTCTTCAGGTTCCGTCAGGGCTTGGCAGCGGCGAAACTCGCGAGCCACAACACGCTGATAGTAATTACGGTCAGTGTACTGAAGGTGACGCCCTGCACGGAGCAGCGCCCGGTACAGCTCCAGCACGGCACTGCGAGACCAGCCGCCCATTAGGCGGAAGGGGGGGACACCCTGGCACCTGGGCAGAAGAAAGACACTATGTGACAATGAGACCGAGACCGTTTCATGACAATGAGCACCTCATAGGATGACTCAGAAACCATATCTGATGAGTAAGACCATATGGGCCAAAACTTCACCATGGTGGATGTATTGGGAACATCAAGTCACACTCAGACAGGTGTAGATGGAAAGAGAATAAGTTTACTGCCGGAGAGAATAACGCATCTAAACACGCTGTACTTGGAAACCTTGAAAGCTTGCAATCTAGGTTACGTTATCTACCTTTCTTCCTCTTACTCCTGGTTGTCCTGGAATCTAGTAACTAGTAATTATTGATTAATACAGACCTGGGCGTTTTACGGCCCGCGGGCCACATACGGCCCTTTGGGCGTCCCTGTCCAGCCCGCGTGAGGTCCATCAAATCAGAACATGAATGAAAAAAGTTCACGGGTGAACTTAAGCTCCCTGACCTTCCGGGTGAGAGACGGGTGATGTTGGCCAGCTAACCCTCAAAATGTCAACTCACGCCAAAAACAGAATAGTTGATGCCGAATGCCGCATTTTCACCAAGACATCGACTGGAAAGTATTTATTTACAGAAGTCAAAGGTAAAGCTGTGTGCTTAGTTTGTGGTACACAGGTTGCTGTGTTCAAGGATTACAATTTGAATCGCCACTATGTGACCAAACTTGTTGGATGAAGAGCGCACAAGACAGTCAGATGCTTTGCTAATGAAACTGCATAACCAACAAAGACTTTTTACAAAACTTTCCACACCCAGAGATGCAGCTTTCAAGACAAGTTATGTCATATCCCACAAAATCGCCAGAAAAAGTAAGCCGTTTTCTGACGGAGAGTTTATTAAAGAGTGTTTGTTGGACTCTAACAGCACTAATATGCCTGGAGAAAGATGGCGCATATGAGAACGTGTCCTCTCCCGACGCACAGTAACGAGGAGGGTTGAGGACATCGCAGGAAATCTTTGGATCTACCTACATATGTGAACAGACATTCTCAGTGATGAAGTTCAACAAAACCAGATTTCAATGCGCTTGTTCAAGCCCAAGCCAGACTGGATTTCTCTCACTGAACAAGTAAAATGAACTGAAAATGCAAATCTTTACCATACTGCAAAACACCTTTTTAGTGTTATGTGAAGTTGAAAATAAAATGGAACTGTGATGTAATGTTTGTTTTTACTGTTTATTACTTCTATAGGAGTATTTTCCTGTTTGACCTGCACCACAATTTCATATATTTATATAAATATTTATAGAATATGCTTATTCTTCTGATTACCAGTAGCAGCTAATCAACACATATAAGTTACTGCTTTTTACAATGGGAGATAATGAATATTGATCAGAATTAAGTTCAAGTTATCGTTGGTTCAGCCCTCCAACACAGTTCAGGTTTCTCATGTGGCCCCTTGTAAAATTTAATTGCCCACCCCTGGATTAAAACCTAACTTTACCCTCAGGTTCATCCACGAGAATGCCACAAATATTTGCTTCAATAACTAACCTGTCTCTGCTTTTAACTAAGCAAGGCACAGATTAAGTTTACACGTCAGAACATCGTGTTATTTCGCCAGTTTCTTTTGTTCATTGAACGGCATAACAATATGTATAACGGTCGTTACTGTCTCTCGGGTGCAGGGTGAGCTCATGGAGGCTGGGACGTTAGCTGACTTTAACACAGCACGTTTGACCAATTAAACATCCTTGCTATGTGTCATTCTGATTTCCGACTGCTGTGAGATTATTGTCATGAAAGAATCGGAAAAATGGCATTGCAAACAGACAAGGCTCAATTTGGAAAATGGCTGGTTCAATTAAAAGTCGCACCTCCCTGGACTAGCTTGTTAGCTTAACACGCTAACTAGCTGTTATGCCAGGCGGCGCTGACCTTACCTGTAGTCAGCCTTATTGGCGAAATATACTCATAAAAAAACATAGGACACAGTGGAAGCAAAACTACAAACACAGAGGATAAAAACCAGAGTAAACATACGTTTCAGAAATTAGTCCAAAGTTTCTTTTCTTTCGACAGAGACAGGACACTGGTGAAAAGAGGGTCAAATGCGATAATGTCAACCGGAAACAAATAGCCCACTACATCCGGGTTATTATCACTCCATTATAATCATTTAGGTTGTAGTATATGGTTGTACAGTATTTGTAAATAGTTACTTATTTTATAACATTTTTATAGGATATTAATTTATGCTTTTAGATATATATTTTAGTATTACAGAATGGATTCAGGGATTGTGCCTTTTATTTATTTGCTTATATTGTACATTAACAATGACGTCAGAAATGTGTCAACTGAACAGCTAATGTGCACCAGCAGATAAATAATGAAAAGTTTTTTCTAACATACATAATGAATTTACAGGTAACACAGACATAAGGAACTGGAGAAAATGTAACACAGTATCCTAACAGTCTTAAACTGACAAATTAATATCGGTTCATTAGTGTGTTATACCCCAGTTCTTTTACTGGACAGATCTGAGTAAAAAAAGGAGTCCGTCTTTCTTGATTTTAGTGCTGGTTTATTTACAAACAGGAGAAGAGAGCAGGGAAAAAAAGCACCTGGAAACACAGAGCCTAATACGATTAATACAAAAATAACTGATGTCAAGGTACCCTTCTCAGAGTCAACATTATCTTCTAACCTTGAAGCAGAGCACACAGGAGCAGACTTTGAATCTTACTAAACTGCATTAATAACACAAATTAAAGTCTAACACATTGAAGTCTAATAATTATCTGACTAATTTATTAATTTCTAACAGTGATTAGCCCACATATCAGAGTAGAGTTTAACCATATTAAGTTTTAGAGTTTAGAAATGCTGTATGTTTTTTTTATTTCCATAATATTCCAGAGGGTTGCTGCTGTTAGTCATGAAAATGCACAGGACACAGTGGAAGCAAAAACTTGTAGGCACAGTAAAAACCTAATGAAACATTTACTCCAGAAATTAATCCAAAGATTAATGGTCCAGTTTTGCTGCATCTAAATTGAACAATATCTTTTCAAGCAACTGGATGTACTCTCCATGGGGTTAACAAAGTGGGTTAAGGTAGGTGGTGCCATTCTATGTAAAGTTTTAAAAATGAGACAGTGTACCTTTTATAACTTTCCATAACAAATAAATGATTATCTCTGAATGATATATCAGCTGTGATAGTGATTGGGTTTCTTCATGGAGTGAATCTGTTGTGAGGTATTTTACCACACAAGTTGACATATAATTATGTCAGTGTTCTCGTTGCTGTGACTCAATCGAGATAAAAAAAAAATAGCAAAACAATCTAGACCAATTGTGGTAACGCCAAAATTACTCTGAAAACTACAAGTGGGATTAAAGACTATAAATCAGTCATTGTGTAATACTGCTAATCAGTGCAGACTAAAGCCACCTTCAGCTTTGCTGTAGGTATAGCAGTGTGAGGAACTGATCTGTTTTGGTTGACTGACTATGAGCCAGGCTGTTTTCATGTTAAATGGTTGATACACACTGTAAAATTATCTTGCTGTCTTGGAATTCACAGTTCATTTCCTTTCCAAGAGTCTACATTTACACACGTATGATATATTTTTAAGTGAATTAAAAATCATTATCAGCTGGCACACTTGGTATTGATTAGCTGCTGTTGCTTTGCCACCCTTGCCTGCTCCTGAGTTTTAAAGCAAAACCAAAAGATAGAGGAAACTGCCACCATGTCATTTTTTGGAGTTACTTTATTCTTCTGTGTGTTGTATGTTAGTGGATCTCCTGTTTAAAAAAAAAATCACAATTTAATTTTAAGTCCATGTGATTTAAAACTTTTACATACAAATCAGAGTAATAGAAATAACACAAAAATTACAAGGAAGACAAATATTTCTTGCATAATTGAAAACAAAAATTTGAGACTTTAACAAACCTTTATCATTTATTTATGTAAATCTTTATTTTGTCAATACTCTTAATCAGTGTCATATCAAAGAATAAAAAAAAACAATTACAATCATTTCTTCTTAAGTTCTTGGACTTCCACATTGCACTTACACTTATACAGTAGTTGTACCACGACAAAAGGAAACCAACTCTTAGTATAATATGACAATATCAAGAACAACATTTAAAAAAAAAAAAAAACCTAGAATAACTCAATGACTTCCTGTAACCTGAATTTTAACTACCTTTACATTTATATAATGTTGGCTTCACCACAATAATGGCTGCAGTTTGTGTAGCATATGTTGAAAGAACTTGTTACTGTATCATTTGTAGGATTGCTCTGGAACTGCGTGGTGCCTGAGAGCCTCCTGCACCATCGCTGGGGTGGAACAACGTTCACCAAGACCCATAGTCTCACCCAGTCCCAGCAGAAGGTCAGCAGCTTTGGCTTTACTGTGTCCAATCTTTTTTTTTTTTTTGAGGTGCAGTAGCCAGGATCATATGTGTGAAATTCCTCTTCGCTGGCAAGATGAGGTTGCCACCTTGGCTCTAAACCATGAAGTGGGAGCACCCTGATTTGTGCTGGATGTTCAGGGGTTGGGCTGAAACCAAGACACAGCGCTGCACTCCCAATTGCTCACATAGTAAGCCTGACACAGCTTTTGCTCCTTGTAGCATAGCGGGTGAAAGCTGCTGCTTGCTCCGTTAAGAGTTTTTCTAGTCAGAATGGTTGATCCACAGATCTGTTCCTCAGATCACATTGGAGAAGCTCTTCGGGGGGCTCAAGACTTGTACTTGTGAAATGCCACTCATCACTGAGGCCACAAACATCACGCCAGCATTTGTTTCAATGACGGCATCTCCTTTAGTGTCCACAGCAATGATTCCTGCACAGATCCCGTTCAGATTTTCAGTCATCACCTCTCTACATGCCTGCCTAAGGCTAAAACCTTTGTGATGATAGAGATTGGCTATTTTTTGTGCAACTGTGTGCCTCAGGAATACATCTCCATCCCCAGAACAGGTAATAGCTAACTTGTCATCAGCATATATTCCAGCTCCTACTACTGCTGTGTCCCCAACTCGTCCCTTAAGCTTTCTTACTAACCCACCTGTGGATGATGCAGCAGCCAGCCCCTGCAAATGATCCAAGGCCACAGCTCCAACTGTCTGAGGGTGATTGTTTTTGGGGGAATTTCCACCACTGAACATTGCAGTTAGCTCTCTGTGACGTTTATCGGTGTAGAAATACTGCGGCCCAGCAGGCTTCTCTTTCTCCTCCAACCCCTGCAGAAACTCCTCAGCTTCGTCTCCCACGATGAGTGAATGTGAGCTTTTATCCATCACACATCTGGCTGCTTTTATTGGGTTCTTCACACTTTGCACACAAGCAACAGATCCTGACTTAAGTGTACTGCCATCTACAATGGTTGCTTCCAGATCATTTTTCCCATCTTTGTTGAATACTGAGCCTTTACTTGCATTGAACAAGAAGCAGTCCTCCAGAGCTTCCACAGACTTCTGCACTGCATCCAGACTTCTGCCACCATGTTGAAGCACTTGGGATCCAAGGGTTAAAGCTGTCTGTAGAGCAAACTCAGTAACTTCAGTCATTTGGTTGCTCAGCATCATCTCCTCTCCAGCTCCACCATGGATTATCAGGGTATAATTTGGACTCATGACTGAAGTGGAGCCAGCAGTGTTTTTGCCATTGTTTAGGCTCTCTGGACAGTGATGTGTCTCTCTATTCATTTTCTCTGTTTGGCTCACTTTAAAAAGACACTCCAGGGCTCCCATCTGGGCTGCAATGGCATACCTAACAGCTACATCCAACACTAATTTCAAGTTTATCTTAAGGTATTCTTGAAGCTTCTCTAGTGCCAGAGCAAAGCATCCTCTCCCGCTGAGCGCAATGCGAACCTTGTCTCTCTTCCCAAGGTAGGTCACAGTGAGCTGATCTTGGGCATAAATATTCCCCACTGCACACTCCACCCCCTTAATCAGATCCGTACCTGTGAGGTACACAGATGGGTATCTAAAGGGGTCCAAGAACATCTTCAGTGGATTGTCAGATGGCAGAGACTGACGGAGGGCAGCCAGGTGGGGACCAACACCGTGACCATATTTAGTGTTTCTGATGAGGCGTTTATGCTCTAAAAATGCCACATGGAACAGGTGTAGGAGTTTAGTGGTGCAATGAATTTTATTATCTGGGCCAACACAGGATGCTAATGCACCAACAAACTTGCAAGAATGCATGGTAACCGAGTATGTAGGATCACAACGGCCATGTATATAGTGGCGCATATGGGTAGGGGTGACAAGAATGTGATTGGCAGCAGATTCCCCAAGAGTCTGCTTCAGAGAAAGCTGCAAAGAGAAGTTGACCCATGCATCATACAGGCCCCTTTGCCCTCTAAGTGTGGAAAAAGCATCAGGATAGGAGGGCAGATCAAAAGTGAGAACTGGACTTAAGTCAGGGCTTGGTTTGTAGCTATTTACACCGTGTAAGGGGAATGTTAGGGGAGCTGGGCAAACAGAAGTATCACTGTTTACTGTGGCAGACACAGTCGCACGTTCTGTGTCAGTTTGCGCTACGTGTAGGTCAGCAGTCTCAGACAGACGGTACAAACACTCAGTCACAAGCCCAGCCACCATCCCATCCACAGCACTGTGCTCAAACACCATCCCAGCTGTACTGTCCTTGAACACCACTAGGTTCACCACCTGTCAAAACAGCAAACAAACAAACTGTCATTTGTTTTATTGTCCACTGAAAACCTGCAAGACTGTATTCTCTGAACTAAATATTTTACCAGTACAACCTTTTAACATCTCCTTTCTTACACTTACAGAAACTGTATTTCAGGACCATTAACTCTGCTGAGAAATGAGGGATTTTATCTGGCTTCGTCCAGCTTCTGTCCAATACCTTGTCATAGTATCTCAGACCTGGACTGTCTCCTGCTCCTCCCAGCCTCACTGCGTTGAGGATATCAGCCAGGTATGAGGGTGCATTGTAGTCTTCCAGACAGAGTGTCAGCACAGCACTCTCCATCAGCCCGAGTGATGCAGCTGCTTCCCCTCCTTGTTCCAGGATCTCTTCTCTGACAGCAGCCCAGGCCTTGCGCTCCATAGCTGAGAAACTGCAAAAAGCAGTGGGATCGTTGTGTGTCCCTGCACTGGGTTGATCCATCACCTGAGCCAGCTGGTTGTAGATGTCCATGAATGATCGAGCAGAAATTGAGCCACCGGTGCTGGGACGCCACAGAATGTCAACAGGAAACACTCCCCCAGCACAGATGATGATGGCATGAAGGCTATCTGGGTAGACCTGGAAATGACAAAGCTACAGATTAGAAATTGCCTAAATAAATGTTAAACTTCAAAGTTGTTCTCTTCAGCTGTGTTCTGCCTGTAATCTCACCTTAATGTGATCTTGGCTCCTGCCAGGAATCCGAGTAGCAGTGAATACCTCAGACTGCTGTGTGCGCTCCATTGGCACATTGCCCTCCAGTAACAAGGGCTCACTGTACAGTTTTGCGGCTGCCCAGAGCAGAGCAGCTGCCCTCCCCAGCTGGCTACATCTCTTGGCTTTAGATGACACAAGAACAACAGGGATGGCTGTGGAGGTGGGCAGCGGGTCCGTACAGGATAGTAAACCTCGCTTGAACTGTTCTGTCGCCCAGTTCTCTTTGCCTGCAACTCTGGTTGCAAAATTATGCTGGACCTGTAGAAGAAGCTCCCTCTGCTGTTCCAGTGTACTTTTGAACTTGGGGTAAAGATCAGGACCTAAAGTGAGCTGCAGGACACGACTCACTTCTTGCAATGTAACATCCAGCTCTGGAACAGGGTAGTTGTGAAGGGTCATCCTGTTGAGACTGGACAGAGAGGAAGAAGAGGAGAAAGGATCAGTGGTGATGGCAGGTGCTTTCTGTGTGGGACATTCATTTAGAGCAGATTTGGAAGCATGTGAAGAGAGAGAAACTGCAAACACAAAGTCATCAGATGCTGCTGTATTCTCTTGAACATTTGACTGTAAAGAGAACAAGTACAGTATATGAGAGCAGGAAAAGAAAAAATTAAACTGTCTTCACTGATTTAACCTTTGATTTTATCAAGGTTTATTTATATAGCACATTTCATATAGGTTTGTGTAATTCAAAGTGCTTTACAGTGAAATAGGGCAAAATAAAGCAATTAGGTAAAAAGAAAAGAATAAAAACTTATGAAATGAAAATCTAGATTGAATTAAAATAATCAAATAAATGGGATATGATGTAACATGACAGTAAAATTTTATAACCAAAAGCCAAACCCAATAGGTTTTAGATTTAAGAATATGAACGTTTTTGGCTGCTCTCAGTTACAGCTGCAACCCTCAGGCTATGAACAATTTAAGGAGATCTTTAAAACAGATTATACTTATAACCAGAAAACCCTTTAACTACAGGTAAGGTACTTCATTTTGCAGGTTCTCAAATATTTCCATCCTTGCCCTACTACAACTAAACTTTCTACTCACAAATTCCTTGGTATCTGAAGAATAAGGGTGGTTGACTAAAGGTTAACAGACCGGCCACAGTTCAAGCTCCTTCAGTCACAAAGCTTTCCGCGGCGCTCAGGTCTCAATCGGCTTGATTGTTAGCGTGAACCTCTCTATTCAGAATGATGCTCTGTGCCTAGGAGGCTGCAGTATAAGTAGCAACAATTTCTTCTTTTACTCTCCTTATATGGTCATCGCCCAGTAGTCATTCTTAATCATTAGGTGTCACCCAAGATAGTGTTAAGTCATAAGACAGGCGTGAGCTGAAAATGACACTGAGCTTGTGACACAGTATGTGTGACAGAAATATGTCCAATTCTAAGTCATATGCCTGACACAGCATGTTCCTCTTTACCATGGCCACAAACTGGAGTTTTGATTATTGCCATCGGTTTGTTTTGATTCTTTAATGAGGCCTACATTTGTGAATTAGCATATTTTTCTAGTTTCTTTGATACATGCATTACATTAGCATCTAGCTCCACTGTCCTGAACTTAGAGCTGCTAACCTGTGACATCTTACCACCCATCATATGACCTCAAACCTTCCTCACATTACTGGAACCAGTTATCTGGTTAACAGTGAAATTGAATCTAACACAGAGTAGGGCCGAGCTCCCTCTCCTAACAGGTCTCCTTGTGTTAACGTGGAATACATGAAATGTATTATGGTCCGAACTGTCAGAAGAACCCAAAAACGATGCACAACTTGAACACTGGATCAATATACCAGATAGTTTAATGAGCTGTAAGACAGACAAAACGGGGGAAACCCACCCACCCAGCTTTGCAGGAGGAGCACCTCAGGGCTGGAGAAGAGCAGAGACCCAAACTATCTGAGGTGCAGAAGAGGAGATTAGAGAGGATCAGCACAGAGAGTCAGTAAGTGTAATGGCCCTGACAGGGAACCCGGGTTAGTCAGGCAGTTCACAGCACCAACTGGGGCGGAGTCAAGTCCAGGCAGGCTAACCTGACAGACCACCGGGCGTAATGAGGAGATGCTGCTGGGTTGAAGTTGCAGACGGTGGCAGTTAGCAGACAAGACTCACAACCGAGGAGGAAAACTTAAATTACTCTCACAGCTCCAGTTCGCAGGTGGGCGGGAGTTGCAGCAAGACGAAGGAATCAGAGGGCAGGCACAGCAAGAAGGCAGCAACAAGGTAAGAAAACAGAAGCAACTCTCAACGCTCCGAGGATGTCGGGGGTGGTGTAGAGAGACTGGGTCACTGGGTCCAGGAAACCCCGTAGTCAACAGTCTGTGCTGGGAGGAACCCACACCGACATGCTGGCACGTCCGAAATGACTAAATACAAAAGGGCGAGGCAGGTGCGTAGAAAAGAAAAACAAGCAGCCTACGGAAGTAGACTGGTGAGAAATCAGTAGCAAGGAATTTTCTGTGAGTCACAACAACAAAGGTTACACAACTTCAGGTAATCAGGAAACAATCAAAGTTCCCAGGAAAGTGTCAAAAGATTAACTTGTGACAAGGACACGCCTGCGCTCCATTTAAGTACAGTCAGGAAGATTAAGTGCAGGTGTGCAGGCGCGTCCTCGTCGCCGAGTGCGTGAGACGGCTGAGGTGTTGGCTGCTGACGTGACAAAATGAATGTATGCAGTTTTTACTTCACGGTGGGACAACATCCCCCTGGTCCAGGGGTCGGCAACCTTTACTATCAAAGGAACCATGTCGCCCCATCTTCCCCCATCTTCCACTAAAGAAAAATAGTCTGGAGCCGCAAAACATAACCCAGCTTATAAACTTTTAAAATGTTTTAATTTGACCTGTTAAAGTGCAATATGTGCATGTGTAGTTCTACTTTGAAATAAATTAAACACTGACCATGTAGGCCTTTTTGAGTCCTTCCCGTATTTGTGTAAAATTAAAATAAAACGTAGCCCACTTTAATATAAAAAACATAAAGTTGCAGCTTAGAAGTTTTAAAAAAGTAAACATAAAATTAGGACTTTTTTTGGACAAGTCCATTTCAGTGTGCTCTCATCCTGTTCAGGTTTTTTTCTCGGCCAGCAATCAGCCGAAGGACCTGAACATACAGTAAAAAACTACATCAGCTTTGGGTCTGAAATAAAAGTTTTTTCTGAAAAATAATATTCTATTAAATACTAGTGTTCCCACCTGTTTAATGTGCCTTCTGTTTCTGAAGCTCGATGCTGATCTTCCCTGTCGGGCTGGAAGATGTGACTTTGGTCTTCACACAGGACTGTAGGTTCTCATTTGTGAGGCAGGAGCGATATTTGGTTTTTATGAAGTTTTAATGCTCGAGAAAACTTCCTCACATAAGTATGTTGAGCCAAAGATGGACAGGACTCCAAATGCATACGTTTTCATGTTCATATACGTGTTGGAAATGGCACTCCATGGTTCAAAAACCAGTTTGTCGGGTTTGGGGAGGTTTTCAATATCATTCCATTCTGTTGAGTGAGATTGGCCTTCTGACGGTGACGTCTTTGAGATCCGCTGTCAGGCTTTTGAACTTGGATACCCATAAGTCTTTATCCGCTATGTCAGCCAGTTCAATTTCAAGATCGGGCTGACTTATCTCTGTGAATGTGGATATGTTCAACAGGGATGGGTCGATGTCCAGCGGTGTGGACAGAGTGTTTTTCCTTTCTGAACTCGCTGAATCTTTCTCCAAATGCAGCTTGCATTGCCATAATTGCAATTTGTAAATAATCACAATTTATGTGATTGTTCTCTTCTTTGAACTCTCTCAGGGAGAGTTCTGTACATCTCTGGCAAACGCTGTCATCTTGCGCTCAAACGCCAGAACATCCTCCAGCAACTGCAGGGCCGTGCTTCCCTTTCCCAGGGAAAGGGCACTTAAGTGACTTGTCATATCTACCATGAAATAGAACTTCTCCAGCCAATCGAGGTCTCCCGGTTCAGGATAGCTGAGGCCTTTGCTTTCCAAGAAGGTTTTCACATGTTCCAGACAAGCAGCGAAGCGTTTCAGCACGTCTCCCCGGAGCCACAACAAGGAGGCTGAAGAGCCGCGGGTTGCTGACCTCTGCCCTGGTCTGACCAGCGATACAACTACATCCATCTGCTCACACGTGAAAGCAGTTAATTCCTTGTTACAGATTCTCTGCACAAAACTAAAGCTTAGGAAATGCCTGTCGCTGAATGAAATTAGATTTCTCCTGATTTGTCCCGTCACAATGAGACTGTCTGTATCTGAGAATGGATTCACGTTCTGGAGAGATACTGGTCTTGTGATTCCAGCAGCTCAGTTACTGAACTCCAGCAGTACTACCTACACTACTACTACTACTACATGGCACATAATACATGTTTTTCAATGCAGCACTACAGGACATTGTTACTGTGAGATAAAATGATCATATTATATGGACATTCTTTTTTTACATCCTGTCAAACCAGGCAAAATGAGCAAAACCATTTTTAAATAAACTGGAGACCCTTATCTTATAACTAACTTTAAAGGGTTAATTCACCAAATTACATCAACATATCTTCCCAGTTAACCACGGTGGTGTCTGACAAAGTACAGTAAACTGAATTTTGTTTGTGCACTGACATCAACACATCCACAGCAACATTTCTTCCTAATTACTCGAGATAAGCCATATAATTATTGTCGACAGTTTTCATTCAAGCTACTTTTGACCAAACAAACTGTCTCTTTAAAACCTGCTCTCAGTGAAGAACTTGGCAAACTGTGGATATTTTACAAGTTTTCTCCAGAAACAATACCTTTTAAAAACTGCCCAAAATGAATCAGACTGCTAGCGGACATCTTCTTTTACATTTTTATCCATTCGTTTCCAAACTAAGTATTCCCTAAATACATTTCAACAAGCTCTCCTTGAGCACTGAGTTTGCCAGCTGGGAGGATGGAAGACCAATCACCGGGAGAAAACCGGGCTGGACTACAAAAACAAGGGTTTGCAATGTAAATGCAGTGATTCCAATTCAGCGCTTCAGTTTCCTGCCCTCTCCCCTCACCTCCCTGCCCGTCTCTCTGTCCACCTCTTCCTCCCTGCCTCTGTCTTTTCCCTGTAGTTCTTGATCACATACTTCTCTCTCTTACATAGTAACATCACCAAAGCACCACCAACAAAGTGACCTCAAATGACTCTCCCTTCTTTCCTCCCCCTCTCTCTCTATTTTGGTTGTCAGTACTTTTGAGCAGTGCCTAAAAAGTATGGAGATAAAATACTATCAAAAATGTTACAAATGCGTGTTTAACGGTTTGTCTGTAACAAGCGATTTGTGTGTGTGTGTCATGAGGATCACAAATGCGTGCTGCGCAATCTGCACGTATAAAGCCATTTGTGTGTGTGTGTGTCATGAGGATCACAAATGCGTGCTGCGCAATCTGCACGTATAAAGCCATTTGTGTGTGTGTGTCATGAGGATCACAAATGTGTGCTGCGCAATCTGCACGTATAAAGCCATTTGTGTGTGTGCGTGTGTGTGTGTGTCATGCTGTTCACAAATGCGTGCTGTACAGACTGCACATGAAACACATTTTACAAATGCTTAAAATCGATTTTTTTGTGTGCAGTTCTTTAGAAAGTACGTACACATTGTTACCTACGCATGCGTGGATCGTCTAACACACGAATCACCTTCCACGCACACACGGATTTTTGAGAGTGTTTTTCCGCACTCTCAAAAGTCCACAATCCACGAATGCACGGTGCGTTTAAGGGCACGTAGAAAACTCGGACATCTGAGTTTCCAAACCTGTTTGCCAAACAAAAGTATTTACACAACGCTATTCCAAATGGACATTACATAAACTAAACAAAAATATCTAATACCTAACACGTTTTAACAGAGAACATTCCACTTGCCTGCAGTTTGTGGTGCATGTTCTAAATTTTTATATATTTAGAATTTAGAAGTTATGAAGCTAAAGTTAATGTTCCGCCCTGCAGAGTTTATAGTTTTTCAGTAGGGCTTATTTTAATGATGCACAAATTCCTCCCGACGAATTTGTTTGTTGTTTTTCAGTGGGACATGTTTTAGTGATACACACCGCCAGTAAGTTTAGCATGAAAACAGTCACAGGTTGTCTCTCCTTCGAATCTATGTATCGAACCATCCACTTATCTAGCATAGCACGACAAACCGTGGAGCATATATTTAATATATATAAAAATCAATTTTAAACATTTGTAAAATGTGTTTTATGTGCAGTTTGTACAGCATGCATTTGTGAACAGCATGACACACACACACACAAATCGCTTGTTACAGACAAAAGGTTAAACACGCATTTGTAACATTTTTGATAGTATTTTATCTCCATAAAAAAGAGCTGAATTCACAGTAAACTGAAGCTTATTTATACCTCAGAGAGTGAAATGTATGCGATGACCTTGTGACATATAGCAAATGTCAGTGTGACAGAAATATCCCTAGTTCTCATAAATCATACTTCTGACACATCATGTTCCTCTTTACCAGGGGCGTCGCTAGACCACTTTTACTGGGGCACGTGCCCCAGTGTAAATCAGCTGTGCCCCAGTAAATACATTCCCATATTTGTAAGGGTTTTTATTAGACCATTCTTCAGAGAAACTAAATGCAAGAGTCAATAAACCAATTGACGCACGTAAAAGAAACACAATAAAAACAAACGTGCTGCAGCTGCGCGTGGAAACTATTTGCCCGTGTATACCGACTGCGCGCACATTTCAAATGCCAATTAGCGTATGTCGCGCGACGAGCAGGTAAGATAATGTATGAAAACGCTGTGAAAGTAAAGTTTCCATGAGTGATAGCTACACTATCTGAACAATGACTAATTCCTCCTGTAGATGGATATCAGAAAATTTCTGTTTTTTCGAGGCAAAGATGGATCAGCGTTTTTCATCTGTTAATGGTCAAATACTGAGAGGTGTTCAAGCCTGTAACCCAGGATCAGATTGCTTTCTTTGTGAGGAACACCTCA